TGGGAAAGAAATCTAAATTTCACAAGTGAGAGAGAGCCATGTTACATATAATGGTGCTTTTATTATGCATAATTGCTTACCAACCTAAATTTCATTCATATTCTAGCCTTGTCCATTCCTTTATTGTTGATCCTGAGGACAAATTTCTGCAATTGGGATTTACCACTGATGAACTTACAGAGATCTGTGAAACAATGACCATGTAAGAAGCACCTCAAATAGAAGATGAACTATTGGAATATATTGATACCTTTGCAAAGGTAAATTGTCAGGGTGTTTCCATTTCAAACCTCTAGAATTTTATAACAGAAGTTAATTCTCTGTATATAGACCTCCACGAAAGACATACATGAAGCACTATATGCTTCTCACCCCAGACTTTGTCATGATTATAATCCTCTTCTCGATTTCGCTTATGAACATGTGAGAACAACAGTTGCTGATTGGTAAGTGACAAGAAAAGTTATTGTAGCTCATATGTAATGTTAATAAATGAATATTATGTAGGGTCTGTTTGTTAGAAATGCAGCCAAACCCACTTACACAACAAGATTTACCAGAAAGTTGGTTTCAGATTAATGTCTGGAGAACCATCAACATTGCTTTCTTGGATACACCTTTTGTGTTTTTCATCAGGTGAGTAAAAGAGTAACTATACATAATCGCCATCCATTACTTTATAATTAATTTTACTTTTTCTGAAAAAATGTCATAGAGGAGAAAAGGCAGTATTGGCAAGCACAGAAAGGAAAAACTATGGTAGAACTTTGAATAATATACATCAAATGCAACAAAAGAAGATTGGAAAGAAAGGTGATGGTTACGTATGAACATTTGGCTTGAGACCAATTGAATGGGGAGCATCTGAAGCTGAGGTCTAAATGGGAAGGTGAACAAGGTACAAAACTCATAAAGGAACGTGGTTTGAGTTTGCCAAAAACTTTGAAAGACATCTTCATATCTCTTACATGTAAGGTTAACTTTACTGAAGAGAAGATATGCAAAGATTAATGTTCCAGGATTTGTTCATTCAGGTTTGCATTGTATAAATTGTACTTTCTGAATAAGACTTGATCGAAATTCTAACATTCAGGATTTTTGAAGGTGCCATCTTAATTAAGACAAACCTCGATTGTCCAAAGGGATATGCATGCTGATATATGAGGGAGGAACCACATGAGATATATGCAGATATCACACAATTTAGTAATACGTTGGATGCTCTAGTTACCATCATTTATGCCAAGGTAAAGAAGTCTCATATACTTGTTTTTACTTTTTAAATTTCACAAGTTGATTTTATTCTTCTCTTGTAGCTTGAAATTTTGCAAACAATGAAGATTGTTAATGATACTAAGATTAATGACAATCTGAGCAGGTGGAAGAATCCACAAAAAGTTCAAAAAACCAATATTCCTATTGTCATCACACACCCAAAAAAAGAAAACACAAAAATGTAAGTTTTTGATCAAATTCATTAATCAAAAGTAAAAAAATTGACTAATCATGAAAGGATAAAGATAGATAAATAAGTCTGCTACCTTGACTTTTTCTTTTATTTTTACTATTTACAAACAAAAAATAACATAATAAATTCATATATACTAATACATTTATTAGTCCCATTTCATTATAAATTATATTCGACAACAACAACAATCATATTTTCTAAAAATAACTTTTTGTTAGTACCATAAATAAAAATATATATTGATTTATCAAAATGCTATGTTTAAATTCATAATATCAAATTTTGTGGATGTCATTCACAGTCAAGTTGTACATGATCAAGGTAATAATTTGTTTAAGGAAAGAACAAATTTACCAAAATCTGTCAGGCTTCAAGTCAATGCAATAGTTATGTTCTTGAATAACTTGTAAATGGAACATGGTATCTGCTCTGCAATGGGATGGTAGGTGTAATCACAGATGTTGATGTTGAGAATGATCAAGTTTGTGTAGTGTTTTCTATTCATTCAGCCATTGTAGATGCAAATAATAAGTGTAACATTCAAAATACAAAAGAAAATTTATTTTTTATAACTGATCCCTTTTTAAAAAAGCTATAGAAGAGTTTTTTTTTCAGGACCTTTCTTATTTGGTAGAATAAATCCTGATAACTTTTATATAGGGCACTGCCAGATTCCAAGGATTTTACATATAAAATTGAAATATTGAAAAACATAGAGAAATTTGTTTTTTTTTGTTTTTATTTGTACTAAACATATAGAATATGAGATTTTATTACAAAAAACCTTTTAAACAATAAATTTTCTGTCTAAAACTTAGTTTTTTATATTTAATATAAATATGCCAGTCATTATCTTTTTTTTTTTTATTTTTATCATAATCCATTTTTTTTATTGAAGACTTATTGATTGTTATAAATTATATCCATAATATATGCTGGAATAAATATAATCTTCGGGAAATAATATTTTTATGTGTTGATGGTTTAATTATGGGAATTGCTATTTCTCACTGGTGGTGATTGTCACCACCTAAGGAATTATACAATTTATGATTAACCCCAACCCTA